ACTTTATCATTCTTTTGTTGTAAAATTTCTTTAAAGCTCTTATTTACTCTGAACATGTACACTATATAGAAAACAGTCAGTTTTCCTTTTTTTGTGATTTTTTTTTTCTTATTTTTCCCCATTTATTTATGCTTTTGAATCCCATTATGAGATCTTGGTCTTACTTCTGACTATTTTTAACCTTAAAAATTTGGACTTTTTTTGATATTTTCAACTAATAGATAGTTTCAAGTGAAATATTGTCTCTGTTGGTGTTGCATATTACAGTCTAAAATCCTTTTATTAAGCTGCCAGTACATTTTTACAGACTCATATCTCCATATATTATTTCTTAAACATTATATTATTAAAAACTACTACTAATATGTCAATAAAAGTGACTTTGTCAAATTTTGATGTTAAAAATTCAACTCTACAGTTTAACAGCAGAGATCAACATTCTATTGTATAATGCAATTCACAACTGTAAATAAACAGAAAACACAAAATATGAAAACTGTTAATTAGCATGTTTTTTTTTTTTTAATGACAGGGTAATTATACCTGCTAAATTAATATTTTTTTGTAGCTTGTTTCAATATCTCAATTATACCATGTACCATGATAAAAATTTTAGCAATTGATCGTTACAAAAAAATGTGATACCAGCAGAAGCCAACTGAGTAGCTTCTAAAACACAAACTATTATCCAATTTTAAGCAGTAATGGCAACGTCCTGCAGTGTAATAGGTTAAAGCCCCTCTACATCATATATATTTAGCTCCCAAACACATGAAAAGGCTTATCTGTTTTTTGGCCTCCGACAGATTTTGTTTTTGTTTCAGTTTTCTTGTCATTAATTTTGCCCTGGATTTGAGCATTAAGCTGCTAATGTCCTTCCGCCTTCGCTTTTATCTCTGAGCGCTCTCGCCACATGTCACACATTTCACTGATCACTGATGTGAACATCCTGCCGCCTTCCTCCACTCGCACAGTCTTATGCCAAAGTTATTTTAGTAGAAGTTTTGCTTTATGAGTTTTTAATTCCGTTTTATTTTTGCATAATTTTATTTTTAATTCTTTCAACAGTTGTAATTTTTATTTAATTATTTATTTATTTATTCACTTGTTAGTTTTAGTTATTTTTATTTATTTATTTTTATTTATTTAGTTAATTTTATTTGTGTTTATTTAATTTGTTTAATTGTTTATTTATTTGTTTATTTATTTATTTTTATTTAGTTAGTTAGTTAGATTGTTTTATTTATTCATTGTTTATTTTTTATTTTAGTTGAATGAAAAAATATTAATTTTGAAACTGGCAAAAATAAATTCATATATTAATATATAATATATAAATATCAATATTAATAAAATGTTAATGGTGTTAATATTAAATAAATGTTTAGTTAGCATTACCAAAGGTTAAGTAATGCGTAATAGATGCGTTATTCATTGTAAATTCATGTTAACTAATGCATTAACTAACATTAACTAATGCACCCTTATTGCAAAGTGTTACCTAATTAATATTATATAATATTGAAAAATAATTTTAATAATAATAATAATATTAATAACCACCAAAAGGTTATACCTATATTATATCTGAAACTATGCCTATATTATAATCTGTATTTCAATGCTGCAAATAAGGATGATGTTCTTCACAATAAATCAAACTGAGTGATATAATGCTTTCTAAAGAATTTTGGATTTGCTCAGCCTTATATATTTGTTCATAAAGTTCATAGAATAATAATTCAACTTCCATAGAATTAATAAATCTTCTTAACCCTCACAATTCATGTAAGTTCTGTACCATTTTCATGTTGTAAGAATGTAATGAGTTATGAGCTTGTGTTCATAAATGTGTGTGTTTGTGTGTGTAAAGTCTAGATGCAAAAGGCTCTAAGTGTCGTCTGAATTAGTCTTTTAAAAAAATATATAATTCTCTATTTCTCTTATGTTTATGTACAGTTATTTCACTCTTAAGAACTCTTATTCTTTTTTCATTATATATTTATTTATTCATTATATATTTTATTTTTTAACCCGGGTTGAAAGTTACCTAAACACAAAATGTCGCGTTTTTATGGCTATGTTTTGTGGAATATTACTTTATCAGATAATGTAACTGCCTGGTTGATCGTTGTGCGTAATTTATTAACAAAATGAAAACTTCATTTTGCTCGCACACTACCTGACAACAAAGTCTTATCGCCTATCCAAATTCTGGGAACAACTAATAACTTGATTTTTAGTTCAAAGAATTCTTATTGTTTATGACTCACATTAGCTTGGAGGACTGCATCCATACATCTCTGCAATGACTCAAATCACTTATTAATAAAGTCATCTGGAATGGCAAAGAAAGTGTTCTTGCAGGACTCCCAGAGTTCCTCAAGATTTTTTGTTTTCATCTTTAATGCCTCCTACATCTTACCCCAGACATGCTCAATAATGTTCGTATCTGGTGACTGGGCTGTCCAGTCCTGGAGCGCCTTGGCCATCTTTGCTTTCACCAACTTTGATTTGGAGGCTGAATTATGAGGAGCGCTATCCTGCTGAAGAATTTGCCCTCTCCTGTGGTTTGTAGTGTCATGGGCAACACAAATGGCTTGGTACCTCAGGCTGCTCTTGTAACTGAGATTGACAACAAGACTTTTGTCAGGTAGTGTAGTGGTGTCATGAACACAGTTTAGCCAATTTTATTTATTTATTGTTCATTTCTTCAACTTTTACAGAATTCAAATGCGGTTCAAATAAATAAATACATAAACAAACAAACACGCATAAATAAGTAAATAAATAAATAAATGAATGAATGAATGAATGAATGAATGAATGAATGAATGAATGAATGAATGAATGAATGAATGAATAAATAGTACTTTGAGAATATTAACATGTTTGCTATTTAAAAAAAAACTATCATTGTGTAATCATTGTCATTATTGCCTTACTAAATTATGCAAGCACTGTTTGTTTGCCGCTTCTGTGTGGGCAGTGCTTTGCCACACTATTGATTATGTACAATAGACAATGTTTGCCTGTGAAATTCACCTGAAATTTGCTAATTTGACCACACCTTGAAATTGGTCTTTACTGCATCACTTTATGTGTGCTTTCTCACCGCACATCATGTTAATAGATTTTCCATTTGAACTCATTCTGACCTAATGGTTTTTGACTGTCTCTTGATGTGATCCAAAGTTGACAAACTTTAAACTTTGCAAAAAGCTTTTTAACTCATTTAGCATGGTCCACTTTTGACCGAATTAGTGAAAAAATGTATTGTGAGAGTAGGTGTAAATAAACCTAAATTAATTAATTCAGACTAATATCATTGCTTACTTTCAGGGTGTTTTCATGCCTGGCTTTTTGGCGTGTTAGTTTTGTAAACCTTGTGTGGTTTTTGTTCTTGGATTGGTTTGTTTAGGATTACATAAAAAGGGCAATCAGGCTCGGGTCCACACCAAAACAATCATTCTCATGGTAATCTTGACCCACCCAACCTTGAAAGATGTTAAGGCTTGTTAAATTCAACATGGCTATATAAAGAATTAAGCCAAACATAGTAAAGAGATACATGGCCTCATGACGATTTCAAAGGTCAGAATTTTTATTTAATAATGACAATAAACTCCAAACAATAAAAAAAAAACAATGCAAGACCTTGAATGCAAGAAAGGTGTGTATGTATATATGTATATATGTGTGTGTGTGTGTGTGTGTGTGTGTGTGTGTGTGTGTGTGTGTGTGTGTGTGTGTGTGTGTGTGTGTATGTATGTATGTATGTATGTGTGTATATATATATATATATATATATATATATATATATATATATAAATAATAAATGAATCCTAAAGTTTTAAATGTTCAGTCTTTTTAAAATAATTTCCTGGAGATCTTAAGAAAATCATCACAGTATTTCCTATAACCATTTTAAATTGTACAACGTTTAAGTCAATATTAATAGCGCCCTTTAAGATTATTTTCAATTGTCTACAGAACAAAATACTAACTTATATCCTAATCATCAAAACTTACCTGGTTGACATAATAACCTTGTACAAAAACATTACTGTCATCATGGAAAAGGCTAAATAAATGAGTCATTAGAAATGAGTTATTAGCACTGATGTTTTTAAAATGTGTTGAAGAAAAATTGTCTTCTCATTAAGCAACAGTTAAGAAATATTTGTATTATAATTAAAATTTGAAAGCAGTTAATGATTTTGACTTCATATGTACAAATGAGTGTGTTACAAGTGTGTTACAGAAAAAGCCTCAACTTTCAGCGTCTTTGAGGAGTTCACATTAAACTAACCTAAATGCTTATCAGAGCAATTCACATCAAGTTGTTTAACTGGATGATAGTGTATATTGATGACCTAATAACCTATAGCTTACTATATCAACAAAATTCTGTACGAAGTTATTTCCATGTACCATTATTCACATGAACTCCCTTTCATTCGCATAAAAAAAACTCAACTTACTGCATGTATGATTTAAGTGTCATTAATTATAATCATCATTAATTTTAAAATGTGCATTAAAACTGCTGGATTGTAACATAGCTAGAACTCAAACCATTATAACTTGTGTAAACATATATGTTTAGTGCGCTTTAACCCCTTCAGACCTAAATTATGTTCCAAATTTCAGAAAAATGGGATGTCATATGATGTCCATTGTAACGGACGCAGGATCTGAAGGGGTTAAACCCAGAAAACAATACCAGGGTGTACTTAATCATAACAACAAAATCATGTTCTCTCTGTGTGTGTGCATGCAGGCTTTCTTCCTAGAAAACCATTGTTGTACAAACATCTTATGTTAAATGTGTGGAGTGACATTACATTGAGTGTTGTATATATGCTTCTGTTTTTAGCTAGTTCCCCATTTTAACCAGTTGAAAGAGAACCGTTCAGGTTGATTTAATCTGTTAAACTAGAAGGATGATTCAGGGCTCTTATTATTGTCTCTAATTGCTGTCTTCTTTTGTCTTGCAGGGACAGACGGACTGTTTAAGGATAAATGGATTCCAGGAAATAGGGACTACAGAGAGGTAATTCGCCATTAGCCCCTTTCACACAGTGATACCGGTAAATATCTGGAAAATTTCCGGAAAGACTTTACCGGTATATTGAAAAAAGCGCTGTTCACACAGGCGAGGACGTTACGGAAATTTTCCGGAAAAGAGCATTCACACATCCATTCCAAAATACCGGTAAATTCTGACATCATTCACCACAAATGAGCTTTAAACGCCTGCGCTTGTATTTGTAAACATTTGACTAAATTACAAACTCTGTGGATGATCAATATTGTGAACAACTTTCGCAGGATCACTTTCGCATGTCGAGATGTTCATAATATGTGCGTGTGCTGGCGCTCATAGGCGCACGCAAAGCTTGAAGGTAAACAAACAACGGCTTATCATAAGCATCTCATCGATTATTATTTACACAGTTGGCATTAAGAAGAACATATAAACGTGACCTGACTAACTTCTAGCAGCTAAATGTGTCTGGAAAAATATTCAAAGGCTTTTATCCTCACAAACCGCGCGGACGTAAATGCGTCTGACTGTTGTGATTGCCTAAAGCAGACGTCTCACGTCAGCACGTTCTAGACGTGCACGCGCTTATTAAGGGAATCTTCCTTCTGCATTCACACAGCGCAGCATTCCGGCAAATTGCCGGTAATGTTACAACTTCTCTTTCTGGAAAATAGCCAGAACGAATTTACCGGTATTTTCAAAAAGGACCTGTTCACACATACAACCTTTCCGGATAATTGCCGGCAATTTTCTGGAAAGGTCTGTATGTGTGAAAGGGGCTTTTGTGTGCGCTTTAGATAGTCTTTGAGTTGCGAGGGAGGAACATCAATACCACCACCTTAAAATATTGCTGCAAAAATTACAGTATACTGGCATTTTTGGTTGGCAGTAATGCCTGAAATTGTACAGCAGACTTTACGGTGAAGTTATAAATTTATTCATTTGTTTCAGTCATCCATTTATTCAGCCAGTCGTTCGTTTTTTAGTCAGTTGTTTGTTTTTCAGTCAGTCGTTCGTTTTTGTTTGTTCGTTCAGTCGTTCGTTTGTTTGTTCAGTCATTCATTTTGTTTAGTGGTTTGTTTGTTCGTTCAGTCATTCGTTTGTTCGTTTAGTCTTTTGTTTGTTCATTCAGTCATTCGTTTGTCCGTTCAGTCATTCGTTTGTTCGTTCAATCATTTGTATGTTCTTTGAGTTATTTGTTTGTTCGTTTAGTCGTTTGTTTGTTCGTTCAGTCATTCGTTTGTTTGTTCAGTCATTTGTTTGTTTTAGTCGTTTGTTTGTTCAATTGTTTGTTTGTTCGTTCAGTCATTCGTTTGTTCGTTTAGTCATTTGTTTGTTTGTTCAGTCATTCATTTGTCCGTTCAGTCATTCGTTTGTTCGTTCAATCATTTGTTTGTTCGTTCAGTTATTTGTTTGTTCGTTTAGTCATTTGTTTGTTTGTTCAGTCATTCGTTTGTTCGTTCAATCATTTGTTTGTTCATTCAGTTATTTGTTTGTTCATTTAGTCGTTTGTTTGTTCGTTCAGTCATTCGTTTGTTTGTTCAGTCATTTGTTTGTTTGTTTAGTCATTTGTTTGTTCGTTCAGTCATTTGTTTGTTTGTTCGTTCAGTCATTTGTTTGTTCGTTCAGTTATTCTTTTGTTCAGTTGTTGGTTCGTTTGTTCAGTCGTCGGTTTGTTCAGTCGTTTGTTCTTTCAGTCATTCGTTCAGTTGTTCATTTTTTCGTTTGTTCAGTCGTTGGTTCGTTCAGTTGTTGGTTCGTTCAGTCCTTCGTTTGTTTGTTCAACCCACTCACTTGCTTACTAGTTTAAACAATTATTTTCTGTACGAAATACATGGAAAATCGTCTAATAATTTGATTAATAAGTGTTGTACAAGTCTTGCTCATCATTAGTTCATGTTAGTAAATACATTAACTAAAATTAAGTAATGATGAGCAATACCTGTTTATTTATTAATCATAGCTCAACATTTACTAATGCATTCTTAAAATCCAAAGTCTTGCTTATTACCACTGTTTAATGGACTGTGAGTTAACTAATGAGCAACATTATTTTCATCAACTACCATTAACAACCATGAATAAATACTGTAATCGATGTGTTATTCATTGTTATACATTGTCATTGGTAAATGCATTAAATAATACAGCTTATTATAAAGTAATATTAGCTTACTAAATAATAATAATAATAATACATTTATAATCTTATGACATATTATTATAATAAATAATAATAAATTTATGATCTTAAAAAAATCATCTATATAATACTTTTCCCATTTGTGTTTCTATTCTACTTAATGTTACAGTAATAAGAGTTTCAGTTTTGCACAGCACAGGAGTGTTATGACAGCTGCTGTTCTCATGTCTAAATTCAGATCTGCAAAATAGTGAAACCATACTGAAAACTAACAGCGTATCATGAGTGGTCTCTGGGGGGAACGTTTCTCAAAGGAAAGCGAAAGCTGACAGTAGAGGAAATGTCTTTCCTGTTTTCGACAGACCTGCTTACTGTCTTCATCTGTTTGATGCAGGGATTTTCAAGCTTGCCCTTTAAGCCGGATCCTGATTCAAATATGTGAAAATGTGAAAAAAATAGTCTAAAAAACTGTGTTGTAGTTGATAACATAACTTTAGAATATATTAAATAGTAGTCATTTGTTTACTTACACACTGGAGAAAACTGGCTTCACACGTCATAAAATAAAGTTATGGTCCGTTGAACCCCCCTCCCCCCCAATATTGGGGGTGCCCACGACCATATACTGACAATGAACGACTATATACTGTCACTGAGGAGAATAAACTTTTTAATAAAGTCGCTATTAATCTTTTATGTGTGCACAAAAGTATAATAAAGGATAATATTCTAATTGAACCTCCAACGCCATGTAATCGGTTTGAGGGTGTTTATTATGGACTTTAAACAAATCAGGTTTCTGTTTATGGAGGACGTGAGAGCTCTCACATCTAAAATGTCTTTATTTGTTTTGTGAGGTTTGAACAATTGTTTCAGGGGTTTAGAATGACGTGAGTGAGTAATTAATAACAGAATTTATTAATATTTTAAAGTTCTAAAGTTAGGGAAATCACAATCAAGTCCAGCAAGAGCAAGACTAACTGAGCATGTCCTGTTGCAGGCCTCCTGCTGACCCTTCTTCAGTCAGGCCGGGAGTGCAGCGGCGTGCGGCTGAGAGGATTGCGGGAAGATGAAGTCCAGTCTGAAACAGTGGCGGCGGCTCGCCCTCGGCCTCATTCTGGTCTGGGCACTGCTCTTCCTGGCGCTCCTCTCTTACTTCATGGAGTCAAGAGTGGATGACCCGCACGCCGCGGCCGCTCTATCTTACACAGACACCCGACGCCTGACCTCCCTGCAGGGCAACCCTCGGACCATCATGGCCACCCATTTGGGCCTGGCCACCTCCTCCGCCCCATCCACCTCCAGCAACACCCAGCAGGAGCAGAGCCAGGAGGAAAACCCAAGCGCCGATCCCCAACCTAGTCCACTCAGCCAGGAAGCCTACCCTTACCCTGACCCTCAGAGCCTGGCAGCCTGGTCCGCATTCGGCACCCAGGATGTGGGCTCGAGGTCGACCGGCATGAGTCGCAACCGTGAACGACAAGAGTACAACCAGGATTCACCTCAAGAAGACGAGGATGAAGAGGAGGAGGTGATTGGGGGGGAAGAGGAGGATGAGGAGGGTGGTGATGAAGGTAGAGGGAGGACCACCAAACGGGTTGCAAGGCATGGGAGCTCTGACCCGCATGAATATTACGTTCCCAGATACAAATCCATAGTTCATGGTCTGTGGAAAGGGAGTTTGTCGATGGGGATGCTCAGTCCACGCCTGCAGAGGGCTATGAAAGACTACCTGAATAATAATAAGCATGGAGTGGCCTACAGGGGGCACCGGAAGGCGAAGCAGAGCCGCCAGCAGGTGCTGTGTGAGCTGAAAAAAAGGGAGAAGATTCGAACATTGGATGGGGCCGAGATGCCTTTCTCCAAATTGGGCTGGCAGAAGATTGTGCCTGCATTACCCCTAAGCCAGATCCACAGGCCAGGCTTAAAGACCTGTGCTGTGGTCACCTCTGCTGGAGCCATGCTGCACTCTGGACTTGGCAAGGAGATTGGTGAGTGACAGAGTTGTTACTTTGGCCTATTGAGGTTTAATGAGTGTCATGAAAACAGCCATGAAGCATTTCATTAAACCTAGATGATTCATTAATCGGTTAATAAGTACGTTTAAGTAATCAAATACTCAGTGTTTTTAATGGGCAGCAAATATAGTCATTTTAATTTACAAAAGCAAGCATGCATTAAATTAGAAATGCATTAAAATAGTGTGAAAAAATGCCAAATGAGGTCAATTAAATTTCTACTTCCCCACTTTGTTTTTTTTTTCAGACTAAAGAGTAAAAAAGTTAAACCTGCATTTGTTATTTATTGTGTGATTCCATTTAAATCTTGTATTTTAATAATAATAATAATAATAATAATAATAATAATAATAATAATAATTGTGATAATAATGAACAGTAATTATTATTATTAATATTATTATTATTATTATTATTTTGTTGTTTTTAATGTTTAAATACGGTTTAAATTGATACATAATATGCTACTAATAATATTAATAGTAGTAAACAATGATATAATAATAATAATAATAATAATAATAATAATAATAATAATAATATACTAATAATAATTATTATTATTATTATCAATTATAACATTATTATTATTATTATTATTATTATTATTATTATTATTATTGTTATGTTTTAATGTTTAAATACACTTTAAATTGATGCATATTATCCTAATAATAGTACATCAATAATAATAAACTGAAATTATTATTATTATTGTTTTTGTTGTTGTTGTTTAATGTTGTTTTACAATGCACTCAACAACAATAATAATAATAATAATAATAATAATAATAATAATAATTGTAAAATTATATAATAATAATAATAATAAATAAATAAATAAATAAATAAATAAATAAATAAATTAATTAATTAATTAATTAATTAATTAATTAATTAATAATAATAATAATAATAATAATAATAATAATTGTAAACAATGTTGTTGTTGTTGTTGTTTTTGTTTTTAATGTTTTAAATAAATTTTAATTCATCCATCATCATCATCATCTTCATCATCTTTATAAGAATAATAATAAAAATAATAAAAATATTATCACTGTCTGCAATTATTAATATTATTATTATTATTATTATTGCAGCTTATCTAACTTGATCATAATTTATAATTTCATCGCTGCTTTTTGATGTTATAAAATGGCATTAGCAACAGCATCACAATGAAAGACAGAAGCAGTAAATAGAAATGAGCATATTAAACAAATAATCTCTTTATACAGCTCGTTAGCATGACGGTTGGCTATTTCTGACTGCTCGAGGAGTCATAGTGATTCATGAATGACTTAACATTTCCTTCTTTCTTAGCTGTTGTCTTTCCTAGTTTTTAATTTTTATTTTAATAATAATATTAATTCTACATAGTGCCAGAGTGTTGAGTCACTTTTCCTAGTAACCCAAGTTACGTTTAAACCGCGTTGCTTCCTCATTCATTCATCTGAAGGATGTGAAATTGGCATTTTTCAAGAAGCCCCTGAAGGAAGGCCTTGTATTTTTGGTTGGGTTTTTTGAGAAGCGTTTTCTCTTTCATTGTCTCCACTTGCGGTTTTTGGTTTCCGTGGTGATGCCAGTTTCTCTGAAAGGGTCAGTGGGATACTGATGGCCTTTACGGTTGCATAATCCCGAGTATCACAGGCACACAAAGAGACCAGATTCTTCCAGCTTTGGCATCTATGGTGGCAGAGCGGCTGTGGGCACAGATGAAGCGTTTCCATGGTGATGGCACAGCTTTTATTATTTCTGAGGAGAATGGCGCCTGTGCCGCCTCGCTAAGATGATACAAACACTTGCACTATTTGTAATTCAATGTGGAGATTCAGCCATCGCTTCTGTGCTAATGATTTTAATTACATCAGTACTTGTACTCAAGGGCTGCTTCTTCTCTCTCTCTTCCTATCTGCACTAAATACCACAAAATTTCCCTACGGGGCCGTTTCTTTTCCTTCAGTATGTGTATTTCATTGCTTTATTGCTATTATTATGATTGAGCTAGTATAATTACTGTACATTCTTAGTTTGTTGTCGTTATTAGGACCAGGTCCCAATGGGACATAATGTAATTCCTATGTTGTCTGTCATTTGAAAAGTTGCCACTTTAGATGTTTTCTTCTGTATTGGGACATTTGTTTGAATTAGGACTGGGCTGATAATATCATATCGCAGTGCTTCTCACAGGTTTGGAATATACTTGCAGTGGTAGCTGGATTGAAACACTTTGAACACTTTGAAACATTTAGTCATTCATTTATTAAGATGACTGAGGTCCTGTGGTGTGTGTCAGACACTGTTAAAAAAATGGACATTTTACTCACTATTGACAAAAAGGGGGTATATGCCAAGCTAATGTGTTTTCCATACTGGTACACTTCCGGTGACCTGTTATTGTGAGTTTTTTTTTCCATTTTATAAGGTTCCTTTTACTGCATCGATGTTGCAATGTAATTCAAATACAATCAGTTAAACAAACTTTGGCATTCATTTAGTTGCTCGAGCGTAAAGCGAGACAAAAAGCTGTTTGCTCGCACGCCCCCGTCAGAATCGGCAGGCTTGTGCAGAAGCTCCATTGAATATACTGGGGTAAAATAAGTGCTCACATTATAAAGACATGGCGGGGGGGAAATGTAATTTAATGCAGTGCTTCTCGTAAAATCTGAGACCCACTTTATATCCAATATCACTCAGCTTGAGGAGATCGCTGATTTTTAAACAATCTTAAACCTGCCGATTTTGCATTGACATACAATTTGCCGGAAATGATTAACCCAGGTTACTGGCAAATCAGTGGCGTAGCGGACGGGCCTGTAATTGTAAATCTGGCAACCGCAATAATCAAACTCTTGGGAACAACTGGTCGGAACTAAAGTTCAGAGGTCTGTGTTCTCGCTGAACCGCGTTATAGCTCATACCATAAAGTTGACTTGATTTCAACTATCCTCGACGCTCACACTGGAGAAGACGTGCCGCGCTGTTTCTCACCGCTGGCTTTCATTGAAAATGAATGACTTCTGGCTACTTTGACGCTCTCGCCGCTTTCGGTTTGTGATCGCTCCTCAGTTTGTGAAGGTTTCCCCGCGTTGTCGCTCCACCCCGCCTTCCTTTACTGCTCCTCAATTTGTGATCGCTTCCACCGTGTTGTCCCCCCTTCATCAGGGGGCCCCGTCAGTGATCCCTGCAAGGGGACCACCGCATTTTACGCTGCGCCACTGTGGCAAATTAAAAGTCCTATTAGCATGCTTCGGCATACAGCCTAGAGTACAGATTTATAGACAAAATAAATGTTAAAAAGCATTCATGAGAGTTGCCATCTGAAACCTTTTTCCATTCAAATAGTATTTTACCAATGAACTGATGTGTGTGTGTGTGACGACATAGTGACTGATAAAAGGGAATTATTTCAAATATTTTGGTTTATGAAACAGAAACCGTATGCAACAAAAATCGCTAATTATTTCCAACCCCACTTCACAAAAAAAAGAGAGAGTGTTCTGACAGTTTAACTGATTGTGATTTCTTAATTTCACAAATATTGTACAAAAAATGTAAAGGTTAACCCATAAAGCAGCAGCTGCATGTCGGATTGAGCTTGAAGGAACTAATCTTATGGCTCGTTTTCACGACAACGTACAGTGCGGTACGGTTCAGGTTGGTACGGAACACCTTTATCAGGCTTGCATTTCCACTACCAAGGGTACACTTTTGGTGGGTGTGGTGTATGACAAAGTTTCACTCAACGTCATTTTCACTCAAGAAAATGTCTACAGTAAAGCTGTACAGGTCGCATATCATATCATATGAGAAGCACTTCTCACAAAACAGAGGTTTATACACGTAAATTCTTATTTATAAATGTTTATTACTAACTTTTCTATGAACAGGACTTGATTATAACTGCAGATCAATGACGGTCTGACAAATCTCTGCAATTATATTAAATAAATGAATAAATGCAACATATATGAACACACAGACCCTTAAAGTCTCCAATATGTTACCAACTACAGAAGAACTACACACAGCATTCGTTTAGTCCTTATTTAGGTTCAAAAACAACACAAAATATAGCCCACAGTCAGGTCAGTGTAAACCTCTCATCTGTGTCTGTAATCTTCAGCAGCACATGTAACCTCAGTTAGACAGAAATTCTGTCATGCTGAGTTCATAAAAGTTGATGATAATAGTTAAACATGGCAGTTTGTTCACATTTGCTGAAGAAATAATGTGCTCCTTTTTTCCGGCTTCTCCTTTGTTTTTTCGCGCTTCACTCTCGCGTTTGTCGGCTTCTGACAGGATCGGGTTTCAAAAGCACGTGAATAATCAAGTGCACGTTATTATCATCAGCTCAAGAAGTTTGTTATTTCAGATATAGACATCCGGCAAGCGCAAGGAAGAAAGTGAAACCGCTCGCACTTCAGACTGGCTCATAAAAAACTAAGGGGCACAGGGTAAATCTGCTCATCTTTTTGGCTTTGTGGCTGTTCATCAAGACGATGACATGGTTTGTTTGAGCCCAGGTCAACCATGGCCAGTTATTATATATATATCTATATTAGGGGTGTCACGATTCTCCAAATTCTCGATTCAATTACATTTTCGATTCTTAAGTCACGATTCTATTCGATTATGAATAATTAATTAATTAATAACAAATTAATTATTTGTAGCCTACAGTTTAAACTACCTGGCCTGCATGGTCTTTGTTTTACCCATAAACAAATCATACAGTAAATGAATAAAGGCAAGTTACACACATAATTACTACCTGTCAATCACTTTTCTTCTTGTGAATAGGCAGTGATCTGTGTCGTTATTATGGCGTCGGTAAAAAAAGGTGCACAACCAACAGGAACCAGCCAACAGTATCTGAGGTGTTTGCTAAAATGACTAAGTAAAAGTAAAAGATTGAAGCAGTCTAAACTAGGTTAAATAGGTTAACCAGAAAGGCTAGGGTAATTAGG